TTTTTGAGACAGGGTTTCTCTGTGGCTTTGGAGGCTGTCCTGGAACTAGCTCTTGTAGATCAGGCTGGTCTCGAACTCACAGAGATCCACCTGCCTCTGCCTCCCGAGTGCTGGGATTAAAGGCGTGAGCCACCAATGCCCGGCTGGAATTTATTTTCTAATCCAATCTGGTAGTGCACAGTGGCATGTTGCTTTGCCAGTGAACTTGTGGTGGTGGCCACACCCCTTGGCATGGTTTCAGGTTCAGACATGACTCCCCTATAAGGTACAGAAAATGCAGTCTTGCACAGTAGTGTGTTTCTTCTTGTTTTGAAGCTGATACCATTAATATTCAGAGCTACTTTTGATGTGCATTAATTCCCAACACTTTGTTCGTTTACTGCTATTTTCTTAAATTTCTTTTGATTAACAGCCCTGGCACTGTTTATCATCCCCTCCCCCATTGACTTTTGTGTTTGTTTATCTTTAGTCCAAACTGTTCTTTTAATATGCTCTGTGAAGCTGCCTTAGTGTTCATGTATTTCTTTAGTCCATTTTTGTTTCTCCTTCAACTTTAATAGATAGCTTTTCTGTGTATAATACTCTGGGCTGACAATTGTTTACTTTTGTAAGTGGAATACATCTTTCAAAACACATCTAAATTTGAAAACCTTCTATCAAATTATTAGCTGTTTTTCTTGTGGCTCTGGCCTATATGAGACTTGGTCCTTTTTCCTTGCAACTTTCCATAACTTTTTACTTGTTTGTTTGTAAGTGTTTGGTTATAATACATGGTGGGGAATCAGTTTTCTGGTCCTGTTTGGTGTTGTGTGGGCCTCATTTACCTGGATGGGTATCTTTCTCTATTTGGGACAATTTCTTCTATGACTTAAAAAATATTAACTATTTCTTTGCTCTGCAAGTTTTCTCTATGCCCATAATTTATAATTGGTCTTTTCATGATACCTCAAAGTTCCTGATTATTCTGTTCATAGACTTCTTTAAATGTAGCATTTTCTCTGGCTGTGTGATGTAGTCTCTGTACTTTGTCTCTCTTCTGTGTGTTCCACTTTTTGGTGATGCTTTCACCCAGCTTTTTATTAGATTTATTGAAATTTTCACTTTCTGTTCCATTCCAGTTTGGGTTCTCTTTAGTGCTTCAGTTTATTGAGTGGATTTAATACTCTTATCCTGGACTGTCCAATTTATTTTGTTTACCTGCTGGTGTTTTCTTGGACTTCAGTAATTTTATTTCTGTCCTTTCCAAGTTCATTCAGGTGTTTGTGTTCTTTTTTCAGGCTTGGAATTCATTAAACATGTTCAGGATTGTTTTGAATTTTGTGTCTTAAATTTCCCAAAAGTTGTTCTCCTTGGGGAACATTATAAAGGGGCTGGTGATGAGGAAGAGGGTACTGGCTTAATTTAACCATATTGTCTGTGTTTCTGTGATGGGACTCACACACCTGGATTTAGGATATTATCTTTTTCAAATTGCAATTAAAATTAAATCACTCCTCCACTTCCCTTTCCCTTCTCTAACTCCTCTCATTGTCCCTCCCTCACTTCCTAGCAAATCGATGGCCTCTTTTTGATTATTGCTTTATACATAACACACACACACACACACACACACACACACACACACACAGTCCTATGTTTCTTATGATCTTTCTGCCCTCTTTTCCACAATATTGCCTTAACCTTAGGTGCAAGAGTTGTGTGGTAGACACGTATCGGGGCTGGGCTATGATCTGTTGTTCTCTGCATTATGACCAGTTGTGTTTTTTTTGTAATGGTCTCCATGCAGGGAAAGGGTTTCTTATCTGTGGATATAGAATCTTAGTTTCTCAGTGGTTGGGGGTGGGCTCAATGCTATATAGTGGGGTGCTTGGCTAGGGTAAAGTGTTGAGGAAATGGAGACTAGATGGATGTGTTCAGGGTGGGGCTAGGGGCTCTTACTGGGCCTGGAACAAAAGTCATAAAGATCCTGTGTATTGGCTGGGGTGCAGATGTCTGGAACTCTGACTGGTTTTGGGGTTGGGGCTGGAGTTGAGGTATAGCTGGATCCTGGGAGTCTGAGATGGGCCAGGGTTAACTGCTATTCCAAGAACGTTACAATTTTACAGCTTAACTTTATTAAATTGGAACTGAAACTTCAATGTGATCATAGTATTTGACCTGCATGATGACTCTTTGAAGTTTCCTGACAACCGACCTGGAAAGTAATCGGTGGCATGTGCACTCCAAAATGGATAGATCATTCCTAACATGTGTGTGGGTGCTTTTTATAGAGCCCTTAAGCAGAGTTTTAAATCCTCTGTCTTCAGTGACTAAATCTTATAGATGTTGAGGGAGTCCTATTAGAATCCTGCGGGGGATTTGAATTCATGGGTTCTCACCATAGTTTTATAAACATTGCTGAAACCATCTATCATTAGATCCATTCAACTCAGAATACGTGTTCTTGAGCAAGAGATGTAACTCAGCAGGTAAAGATGCATGCTAAGCCACTCTGATGACCTGAGTTCAATTCCTGGAAGTCACATATTGGAAGAAAAGATTGGACTTCCAAAACTTGTCCTCTGACCTCCAGTTGTGTGTCGTGGCAATTGCCTTTACACACACACACACACAAAAAAAACAAATGAAATGGGACAGAATGGGTTCTTCTATGAAATTAAACTTTTTTTTTTTACCAGTAAGTATTGCCTCCATACTAAAAATTTTCTTTTGTCTTAAGATTCATTTGCTTTTTTTTTCTTTTTGATACTAATGTGTCTACTCTAATTTATTTCTTGTTTTTCTGGAAATAATTACTGCTCAGGTATCCATTCTTTTAATCTGTGACCATCTTATATTTTAGCATAAAACCAGATTTCTACTCTAAAAATCCATATTTAATTATAGATTCTAAATTTATGAATTCCATGATTTTTCAACCTATATTTGTTATTTGTGTGTGTGCATTTCTCTGAATCCAGGCTTTCACGTGCTTTGCATTTCTCCCATCTGTTTCTTCTGTGTTTTAGATGTTTTGCTTTGGAGCTGAGGATGGGGTTCAGTTGGTAGACCATGCATGAGGGCCCAGGTTTTGTATTCACATAAACTGGGTATGATAGAACATGCATGTAATTATAGTACTCAAAAGACAGGCAGAGGCAGGGGAATCAGGAGTTCAAGGTCATCTTTGGCTACATTGAGAGTTTAAGGCCAGGCTATTGTTACCAGTTTTTTTTTTCTTTCTTTATCTCTGCCTTTCTCCAATCCTTATTGGTTTTTGTGGTTATATACTGAAACATTTATGTATAAATTTAATTTTAAAAATCTGGTTAACCAACTACACTATTTTTCTAAATCTACAAAAATCTCATAAGTTTGAATTCTTGTTCTCTGAGCCTACATTCTAATGTTGTCCAGTACTTCAGCTTTGTGGGTTTATCCCCTCAAGTAAAAAGATTGCTCCATGTAACAGTTTGTTCAGATTTAACTATGTGGCTGCTATCTTCTCTGCTAACCATTCTTTGTTTCATAGCGCTATTCTCCCTAGTTTTTCTCTTTTTGAAATAAAGAGTCTTTACTTGGGGGTCTAGGGACATTACACCCTCTAGGTTTTGCTCAACTCTGTGTCATTATTTACCACATTTTTACAGAATCTGTAGGATAGCCCTGTACTAAGCCAGGTCTCCAGGACTGTCTTACCATGACTCAGGACCTTGGAAAAACGCCTTCCTATGTCCAGGACCTAGTGTTCCTTTGGCAGGCCAGGGAAGATGATCCTCAAAGGCCCTTCTAGCTCCCATAGTCTACAAGTAGGACAAAATGGGTGATATACAATATTAGACAACAGAGAAAAGTATGGAGTTGTCAAAGAGTATCTATCGGGTGGCTGAGAAAATGAGGAGACAGGAAAGAAAATTACATCATACATGCCCTTTTTGATTATAACTTCCTGAATTCCCCTAAATATAAGTGATGTACTTGGCACGTATCCAAAGACACACCATATATAAGGCAGCTTCATGAACAGCAGTCTCTGAGAGAGACACACGCACAGTTTTCAGATGTCCTACCATCAGTAGATACAAAACAGATGCCGGAGAGACAGCAACCAAGGCCTGAGGCCAAAGAGAAGGGAGGGGTGCTCTCTGGCGCTTGTGACAGGGGATTCAGGTGGGCCTCTAGTTAACTTTCATCTGAGGCTTAGTAGTCTTGGTGTTTGAGTTTTTCTGCACATCTGCTATATGAAAAGGTATACTTCTTAAATGATGGTCCTGGGTTATTTTCTCTTACTCTTAGAATATAAGTGTGGACAAAATAATCACAGAACCATCAAAAATGACTGGGTACAAAGTTTGAAAATTGGGCCACTCTTCTTGTATCTGATTCTTTTCACCCATTTCTAGTGATTTGTACATGCTTATCCACTCAGCCACATTAGGGTTTATACCTGCATTCCTCAAGGTATGTAGCAAGTAGTGGATTATGAATGTTTCAGAAATATTCATAGTACAAGTGGAGAAAAGGTGTGAAAATGGGAATTGTTGAAGGTAGAAATCTTACCAATTCCACCTCAAGGGACCTACACACACACACACACACACACACACACACACACACACACTTTTCAGAGTCCAGAGGATGCTGAAGTGATTTGGGAACATGTCAGGAGTTGAGCTCATCAATGGAGTGGGGGCTGAACACTCTTGGGCATACTCGCTCTGAGAGGATTCCCATTCTTAAGAGGAGCATATGGAAAGCAACTGGTGAAAAAAATGAATCACAGTAACTGGGCTTAAGAGGAAAGGAAACAGATCATCTGACTCCTAAAGAATTCCACACATAGGCAAGTAAGTGGAATGAGAAGTTTATTGGATATCTAAATATAAAGTAGTTCTTTTACAGAAAAAACAATGTGATTTTCATATTTATTCTCATAGAGCACTGGGAAAACATAATCAAAACTGATAGAATGTAAATAAGAACATGTTTTAATATAATTGGATAATGTGTAAATACAAAAGAAATCATCCGAATCACGGTCTTATAACACAAGTTCTGATTTTCATAAGGAACAGTGTGAGCTGCTGTGCAAACATCAGGGATGGTTTATAAGGCAGTGAATCCATGCACTGTGCTTACACCTTGGAAATACCATGGCTCGATCAGTATCACACAAATGAAAAGTCCTGTTCTCTATGCTTTTGTGTAACTTTCCCTAAGTTGAAAATGGTACGGAGACTTGCAGTGCTACTGGTGGGCTGTGGTTGTGATTAGCTAGGAGGAAGTGCCTGCTCCCAGCAGATACACCAAGCACAGAGAAAGCTTGGCAGTTCTCCACCCCTGTCCTTGACCCGTCCCATTAAACATGACTTAGTTTTCATATCAAGCTATCTCTCATGGTCACAAGTCACCGGACTGAAACTCAGAGCAAGGCTATATTGTGTCTGTTGCAATTCCTTTGTTTGTTCTCAAGGAAGAGAAGCCATGTCTTCCAAAGACCTGATGGCATCACATAGAGATTTTGGAATTCTTTTTTTTTTTTAGTACTGAAATTTGATCATGTCAAAATTAGAAAATGATTAGTGTTGAAATTGATAGTGATAAAAAGATTGCCGACAGGAGAAATGTTTTGGGGGAGAAGTACTGCCCAACTCTCTTTTTTAAAAAATTCAACCTGGCTCCAATCATGATGCTATTAAAGAAGCGTGGCTATAGTCCTGGAGCTCTCATCAGTGCCTTGTTGTTCCCTCAGCTCAGGTCTGAGTTGCTGGGCTCCTATATGGAAAGCAGAGTGGCGGATGACTGCAATGCCATCAAATGTGTCTTCCACAGTTTGTCACCTTTACTTTCATTTGGCAGAACTGAGTGGGAGAGGAGACATTTCATAGTAGCTTTGTGACCAAGAGGACATCACTATGCGTCCTTTCAGAAAGGCTAAGTGGACACATCTTACTTTGCTCATAGGCATATTTAAAGGAAAGTGGAGCCAAGTGACTTAGAAGGAAAGGAAACGACTTGGCAAGTGTAATCTGCCAGCTGGTTGAGTCAGACGACACATTGAGAACAATCTTTTTTGGAAACATGTCCTCCCTTCAACCCTTCTCCAATCATACAGTATCTGTATGTACCTCAGCATATTTACCTGGCTCATCTCCGATTGCCACACTGGGTGAAAACTCAGCCTTCCTGGCTATGTTGTTGCCTCATCACAAACATCTAGAGTTTCCCTGTCACTGACAGAGCTCCAGGAACAAAAGCACTCAAATAGCATGCGCTAGTATTCTTAGGAGCTGGAGTAAAAATGCTTCAAGGATCTGGCAGGGACACTTGGCCCCCCGAGTCTACATTCCCTATAGCCAAGACTTTTCTTTAGTTTTCTCTAAGTTAGCCTAAGACATAAAAGAAACCTGCTGACATGCTAAACTTAGCAGTACTTAGTTTATAAACACACCCATGACACATATTAATTGCCTTTTTTTTCCTTGACTGAATGTTCATGAGCATATTACTTCCATGGAGTACAGGTTCCTCAGCACTTTGCCATGATTCCTGGCATAGAAATACAAAGTGGCAGTATCAGCAGGAGGTTCCAGGGACACTCTTACAGCCCCATTTCATGGTAGCCATGGTAGGGGAGATTGTAAACGAGCCACTTGCTTCCATTTGGCGATGCTTCACTATCTCAGCACCTACTCCTTCTGATGGTGTTTTTGAAGGCTGAACAGTACGACTCTGGGTACCGTGTGTACATACATATGTAGGGATAACGTTTCTGTTTCTCAGAATAGGCATTTTGGAAGGCAGTGCATCTAAAAGTAAAGTTAATAGAGCCTATATTTAGCCCCCCGTCTTTCTCACTTTGCTGATGTGTGTGCTGAACAGAAGAGCACATTGGAATCAGTCTCTCAGAGGCCGGAGTCGGCAAGCGGCTCTATTCAGAGCTGGGAGAGTCTTGCCAACTCAACTGTAACTGTTAAAAAGGCAGACTTGGAGAAGGTGTAATCATTTTTCTCAAAGGTGATGGCACAGAAGGAGAAAAGCCTGTGACAAAGCCGTGAAATAAGAGCCTGTGCACAGTTTGGGCAAAATTGCTATTCCTAGGCTGTGCCTTTGAATACCATCTACTTTGTGGCACAGGCTTACTACTTAGAAAGTTCATCTATTAGTTGCCCCCTCCCATTCCCATACTTAGCAGTAGAGAAAGAAAAGCCCCCAATCCTTAAGTGATGATCAAGGTATAGATTCAGACTAAACAAAACCAAATCAGGTTAACTCAGAGCTCCATGCAGCTGTACAAACTTGGTTCTAAGTTTAAGGTTTTGTGGATGGCACGCAATTCCACACAGCAATCTTAATCGTGCTCAAGAACCACCAGACAGTCATGTGTCATTTTTTAAATCTATTTTCCTCCTTGACATATTTCCTGAGAAAGAGTGAAGACACAATTCAGTTCTGTGGAGGGGAACTATCTACCTTTCATTAATGGGCAAAGAGGTCCTGGATACTTTCTTTGCTCATCAAGTGTCCCAAGTGACAAATGGGCAGTGAAGGCGAGTCATTGAAAAATGATTTTGCTACTACTTCACTGCTAAACATTTACGATCAGACCAGTTTCTGGAGTCTACATCTCATCTGGGACACGTCTCAGTTCAGACTTTTCACTTGAGGTAGAAGAGGGGGTCCAGGCTAACTCAGTGTGCCACCGAGTGAATGGGGTCTTTTTGGTGATGTATTTGACACTTCTAAAAACCAACAAGAACACAAAAGATTACTATAATGCACATATCACCCAAGTATCAGCTCTCTTCTTACTATGTGCTAGGCAAAATGAGATCATTCCCATTGTGGATATTTAAACGACGAAAACCACTTTGGTCCTAGTCTGTGTTTGAAGGAATGGAACACATTAGGCAGAAACCTCATAACCTGGCCAAGTTCTAGTCCTCTAATTGCTAAGCTTCATGGCTATCCAAGAGCAAAGAGTGATGAGGAGAACTGGGTTGTCCCCCCCCATCCCCTGGCCTCACAAGGCTCCCTTAAAAAAAAAAGAAAGAAAGCAAAAAGATTGAGAGAAGATGTAGATATAGAAACCAGTTCTGCCGATTTTATATCTTCTGAGTGAGAAATGGAGCTGAATAGTTTGGTAAGCAAAGATATGCAGGCTTCAGGATGGAGGGTGTGGATTTATGAAAGCGATTATTAACTCCTACACCTCACTATGAAGCAAAGCAGATGCTGTAGAAATGGCAATGCAATGCCCCGAGAATGCTGGTACCATTTTCTTTACCCCTTTCCTGATAGAAACAGAGAGACTCGAGCACGGGAGATAAACACCTCACTTTCTACTCCTGCATCAAATTGCTTTGACATATTCTAAGAGATAAAAAGATCCACACAAAATTTAAGTAGCTTTCTCTTTTCCTTTTTGGCAGCTATGAAAATGGGTCAGGTCTAGGGATTATTAATTTCCTGGCCTGAAGAGGTAAAATGTTTTAAAATAAGATTTCTTTTTTGGAGAATCAGCTTTCTTGGTGAAGACCCGTGTGTCTGTGCATGTATGCATCTCTCGATCTCTCCTCTCTCTCTCTCTCTCTCTCTCTCTCTCTCTGTGTGTGTGTGTGTGTGTGTGTTTGTGTTTCAAAGACAACACAATTGTGCTTTCTCTAAATCTTTGGAACTATATTGTATAGGGTGGAAGAAGGGAAATTTTCACACACCCCTTTCCCTTTCTTTACATTATATGAAGGTAAGTCAGGATTTGTGGCTGATTCCTGAAGATATCTGAAAAATATTTTCAGGAGGGAGTACCCTTACACATTTACCTCTTTATTGTCCTTTTGTCTAATGAGATGGGACAGCTCTACAGAGGCAAGCCTCTCCTCAGGTAACTCATCTCATAATTCTGAGAAGAGCTCAAAAGGCTTCATTAGTATATAGCTTGGGTGGGCTACCCCATCTGTGCCAGAGGAAATGCTTCCCATTCTACCAGCCATGATACACATCACTCCTCTCAGATAGATAAGCACCTTTCTGGCCTGTGGCTGTGAGCGCTGGGGCAATGATGCTAAAGACTGGAAAGACTGGGAGGCCATTTGTCGTTTAACTTGCCTCTTCCTAATCTCAGGAAAAAGGTATGGCCTGATGGAGCAGCAACTCTGGGGAGAGACATGCCTGCCTTACAAATTAGGACATCTGAAAGGGTTTCCAGATTTAGTACAGATGTCACGTCATGAGGATAAAGGATATTTTCATTAATCGATGGATTTTCAACTTGTAGTTGACAACCAGAAGGTAGAAAAGAGAGAAAAGCCGGGATACACAGCTTCTCAGGGAGTCAGCCAAAAGCAGGGTTCTCATTTGTTGACCTGTGTTTCGGAATGACTTACAAAATGTACCTAGGGTCCTCCAAGTAGGATTTTTGTTGTTGTTAAGAACATAGTGCTAAGCTCCTTGTGATGAGGGTACATTAACCACAAAAGTAACAGTCTAAGAAGCACTTTTGTATCAGTCAATGCTAAATTTCAGAAAGGCCACCCATTCAGTAGCTCTTCTTTAGGCATCTCAAGGCCTTTTGGCCATGGGTTTATTGGATCTGAAATTCCTGTTGGGTCAGCATTTTGGTAGGCTCTCCATAAATGTGAACGGACAGAGAGACTAATATGTTTTTTTGTTTGCTTTTTGATTTAACCTATAGCAGCTTTTGCCTCTGTGGGGTGTAAGTCATAGCCCAAGGGAGGGAGGAAGAAAGGAGGGTGGGAAGGAAGGAGGGAGGAAAAGAGGGCGGGCTGGCTTTCCTAAACCTCTGGGCACCTGAGCACACTACTGTATTCTAAATGATATAGTTTCAGTTGCTATCTAAAAGCTGGCAGGTCCAGAGAGCTTTACTGTTCACGTAAACCAACACTTTCTGGGGAACTTTGCATCAATGTGCTTCTGCACAGCTGTCTTCTCTCAGTGACTTTTGTGTCACAGGCTTCCTCACAGTGCTGATCACAAAGACCCGTGGCTACGCACAAGATGACATAGATATGTGCAATTTCCCGATGGTCCGAAACACTGTAATACACATGTACACTGGCCACAGATAACCAAGTGGCCCCTGTGAATATCCATGGGTAACCTGTGAGAAGTGTGTGACAAGGGCTGGGTAAATGTCCAGATCTCACACTTACCAGCTATATTGCTTTTGGCAAGTCACTTAGTGATTCTGAACCTCAGCTTTCTCTTCTAGGACAGAGCTATTAATAACTATCTTCCAGGGCTGTTCTATGTGTGAAAGCAGTTTGTTAGCTCTCTCAGGACTTTTATTATTTTACAGCTCAGAAATCCACCCAGGGGTGGATAGCAGGCTCTTGCTATAGGCTCTCAAGTTTAAAAGCTGAGTAGCAGAGACACAATGCTGTCCTTCCGAAGACTAATGATAGCTGATGAAATTGTAACCCAGGGCAACAGGGAGAGAATTTTTACATGTTTACATAAAACACAGCAGCACACAATCCCTTTCCTTAAGGATGGTTAAGCTCGTGTGCTGAAGAACTGATCAGAAGCGATAGATTTTCACCAGCACTTTCCTTTTGACTTTTTCCTTGTGCAAGAAAGCTAGAGATCACACAGTGATGTTAGCCAACATTTTTAAGGTCATTATCAGTGGACCAGATACATGGAGCAAACTGTTCATGGGACAGTTGCTGAGGGAGGGCACAAAGCTATCAACCATGGTCAGAACCGGTTTGTTTCCTGAATAGAACACATTAGCAGCAGAATCCACACAGTCGAACATGTGGTTGTGGGAGAGCATTCTGACTGTTCTTATAAAGGTTTAAAGCATTTCTACTCCTACTCCTAAAAATGGGAGTTTTAAAAAGTAATACATCACGGAAAAACAAAACAAATACAATAGGAGTAAAAACAAGGGGGGAGCCAGTATTTTCTTATGTTTTGTAGGTTTGTTTTATGGACCCAGGAGACTATCAGCCCAAAGACAGGCTCTGTTTTAATGACAAGGACAGCTGAAAGAGAGGGACTTCCTCGCCGGGTGATGAGTTCCTGGGTACGGGCACTATTTCAGCAAACTTCACTGTGCAGCAGGGAGTCCGTGAGGGAACTGGAACACCCAGCATGACAGATGGCTCGGAGCCCTAATTGTGTTCCTAGAAGAATAAAAAAGTAGACAAGGCCTACTTGTTCCTTTTTGAGGGTTCAAAAGATAGGCACATTTGCTGCAAGCATAGAGGATGTAGAGTAGCTCAGGAAGAATGCACTTGTTGCAACAAAGACCACAGGAGCTGTTTCTTATCCAAACGTATGGGTTGGTTGTGTCTGGCCAATCATCCCTCCCCTCTTCCAACTATAATGCTGACAGGAAGGGATCTACGGTTCAGTTTTCTTTGGTGCCTTTCCTCTCTCACTGAGCCTGAATATATGAAAGATTCTGCTCTTACTAAGACTCCAGAATCCATGCATCATGGCTAATGCATCTTTGCAGGGAGAAGCCTACGCTGTCCGGTTGGGTCTCAAGGACTCTTCCTCCCATTTCCCAGTGAAGTCAGTAAGTCAGGCTGCAGTGTCCTCACATCCTCCCTGACTCCCATAGAGGCCACTGTGAGGAACTAATCTTTGCCATGCCATACTCCTTTCTAGGAAGAAGTGTTTAGACTGACTATTTGATCTTATTGCAGTCATCCTGAATCTCTCAGAGTGATTCAATAATGATCAGTAAAACAAGATCAGTTAAGGAATAAGGATATTGAGAGGACAAAACAAGATACATCATGAACTCTTAAGGAGAGGATAAATTGATCATGGGGGAAGTTGCTTGCTTAAGACACAAATACTAGAAATGAATGGAAGAGTTTCAAAACCAAAGACTAGTATTGATGTAGAACTTACCAAGTATCAAGAACCATTTTCTCTATCCATCATGGGAATACAGCCAAGATCTTTGAGAAGATAAGCATAAAGGGAAAGGACACGAGCGACTTTATGAGGTCAGACAGCAGGACTCTTGTGGATGGAATATGCCTTAGCTCATTTTCTGTCATCTCAATGTCTGTGATTCTATCAGTGTCAAAAACAGCAGTGAAACAAGTTAGACACACCAACAAAACAGCACAGAAAATAAGAGGACTGTTTTGCACATGTGGCTCCCCCATTATGAAGGAAGTCTTTTCAAGGCATCTCATCAGTTACCTTTGAAGGATTCCCAATCCTGTTCCTTTAAACCCCAAGAAAAAGTGCTTTCACCCATCCGGATGGACAGCAATTGCTGAGTCACAGAGCAGAAGGAAATAGAATTAGGAAATATTTGGGGGGTAACGTTGACACTGGAGACAAGAGAGTAAGAGGCATTGCCAATGTCAAAAATGAGAAGATGAAGGACTCTTCACAGAGGTGGAGAGTCTAAAATCTAGAATGGTTTTATGTAATTTTCCAGCTAGGTTGGGTTGCTTTGAATAATATTCCACCCTGGCCATCTCCAGTAATAAACGTTATGTCCACAAGTCACAAAAACAAGAGAACGCAGATCTTTATAAGAGCCGTTAATACTGTTCACCCAGGCCCAGCACCCGACAATGTTCATGTTCAACAAGACACTCAGCACTGGGGTAGAGCATGAGGTGACATGGTGACATCTGCATTCTTTGCAGAACATTTGGCTTCTCAGATTGAGAACTGAGTTTAGAAGTTATGTTCAAAGGTTAGTTCAGAGATAAGTGTAACCGGGGCTATTTAAACACTATGCTATTAGAGCCCGGTAGATGACTGTCAGAGTTAGATAAGTGAAGTTTTATTTTGCCTCTAAGTAGATGGGCATCTTGGAAACTTAACTTAGCCATTCATTCTAAATATTACAAAAGGATTTGAGTATGCTAATTTTTAATAAATGCTAGAAGCAGAGATACTTATCATCTTGCTCAGACAGCACTATAAAACAAATACCAATCAAAAGCAAACAGCAAAGATTTGAGCATTTTTTTTCCAATCAGATGAACAAAAATGGACATAGCTCTCCACAATTAGTCATATGCATGTTGGCTAGCTAAAATACTGTCTAAAATCTTTGCATAAGGAAGGAAAAATTAAAACAGAAAAGCAAATTAGTATCTTTCTCCTCTGTGCTAGGGGAAAATATGCCTGCAAAGTAATCTATATTCTAAGAAAATTCCTAGCATTAAACTACCCCTTGCAAATACCGAGTCAATTATTATCATTTAATATGGACCATGGGCTAAGTGCTGCAACATTTAAAGTTGGAAAATTTAATAGTGTTCCCTTGCCACAAGGAAAATTATCAAGTTAATTTCAATGGGACAAAATGATGTCCTATCACTAAAATATTAGTATTTTGTGGTCAAAACATTTTTGAGTTAAAAACAAATCCCAGTCTAACTTTGAAAAGATCACTTTTCATATGCATAGGTGAGAAAACTAGATCCCTTTTAAAGGAAGGACTTTACTACCAAAGTCCCCAACAAGGACTCATTAAAATACAGCTCAAGACTACATCTCCCTCTAGGAATAAACACAACCTAAAGAATATGCCCCCATAAAACCAGATTTTTCTGGATGTTAAGTATATATTCTGATAGTCTCTCTCCTTTAATGTGATCATAATGTTATTGTATCCTAACTGGACTTATGAGATGGGCCAACTAGGACAGCGTTATTAGGTACAATGGAAAGAAGGAATAAATAGAGGGAAGGAGGTGGAAAAGGCAAGGAGAGGAGAAAGCAAGGGGCTAAACACTTGCATTAAATCACAGTTACTTTGACCAGGTTAATTGTAAAAGGTCTGAAACAAAGCTATGCTAACCACACATACAGCACCACAAGCAGTTTTATCCCAATTATCAGTCAGTTAAATAACTTGTCCTGAAATACTATTCGTGGCTGTAGCACAATCATAACTTGCTCAATAATCAAGACTGGCCCTTATTAATTCAAACAAATAATACAATTTAAAAATGTGTGTGCTGAATGGGTGTTACTGGCTCAAGTGGCTGTCTTTATTATCTGAGTAAAGCAAGAGGAAGATTAAATCATGAGTCCTTATAACACCTAACATGTGATCTCAGCTATGTGCATGCTCTCATAGACAACTATGAGGTCCTTCCAAACTGAAGAAATAATACATTAAGAGTGCTGCAGCATTCTCTCTCTCTCTCTCTCTCTCTCTCTCTCTCTCTCTCTCTCAGATCTGGGGTTTAGTATTTCTATTACTGAACAATAGTCATAGTAGTGTAAACAGATTATTTAAAAATAAGGCACAATTATAGATTGCTTTTGATTGTCTCTGATGAAAGTGCACCAGAAGAGCCATCCCAGGACATGGACTCAAGGCACATTTTGCAGAGGTATCTTTTTCGGTTGCTGGTTGTCTACAGATGGCTGAAGCAGGGGTATGGAACATGCTGTCATATTTCATTCATAACACACATGTACTGTAGCTTTAGGCAACAGATGGACAATCACTTGTTTAAACTACAAATGTGAAACACTAAGGTAGAATGGCAATATTTCTAGAGATGTATATAAAAAAAATGCCTTTCCAAGCCAAGAGGGATGGTGAAAGGCTGGGAGGTGGCATCAGTGTTTCCCTGATCTCCCTAGCAGCTGCCATAATTTTCCCAACACCCTTCAAAACTTGATAATGGAAGGATCAGGGGGCAACCGACACAGAGCTGACAGGAGAAGCCCAAACCATATCAAATAGAAATAACACTGTTATTCCTGACTGGTTCACATTAATAGGATTTGTAGTAAGTAGGAAGATGGCTGGCAGTTGTGTTTGCAGAGTCCTGTCTGTGGTCTATCAGTGCTCTGCTGCAGCTGCACAAAGAGCGTGTTCTCCTTTCCCCAGAGCCAAATACAAAAGAGCTGTTCATCGTCATATAGGTCCATGTCTCTTACAAGCTCACCATAGACACATTTGCAGACTTTTCATAGAAAACAATTAGTGTTTTTAAGTTCATTTCATTAATGAGCATATAACCCAGGTCATCATTTTCATCAGAGAAGTCATTGTAATAGGGACACCAAGATGCTAGTGACAGAAAAAAACCCACATCTTTGAGCTGCAGAGATGACAATATTTCATTAATGTGGAGGCCTTGACCTAGGACATATTTTTGAGTTTTGAAGGCAATTTGGTTTGCCCATCTCCAGACTGAGCCAGTCTGAGATGGGAAACTAAACAGCTACAAAATCTTTTTCTGGATGGGAGGTTTAGCTATGGTAGAGCACTTGTCTATTTTATGCAAAGCTCGGCGATCCATCCCCACCACTATAGAAATAGAGAGGAAATCTTATTTTGAAATGTTCTCTGCAGAGCCCATGACAGTGGGTTTTTTTTCCCATTCCTATGTATTTCACTTTACACAGAATAACTAAATGTTTGTGCTCTTGATATTTAAACAATTCAGATAGAATTTTACAAGTTTTCTGTTACAGACTTATAGTTTTTTTTCTATTTATGTATTTAAATGATAGTAAGACAATATATCAAAAGACAATGTGTATAATCATTAATATGATCTTTATATCTCTACAGTAGGCAAAACCTTATACAGCTAAAAGAGTAAAGAATAGAGTGGCGTGGTATTGTTTAAATCAAATGTGTAGTAGGAGAAAACAAGAAAGCAATGCAAATCACATATTAAAGAAATTGATGAATAAAGTGGTAGGATCCTTTATACTTATTAGACCTTGTGAAAGAAAAACATCTAATTCTAAATATTTCTGTATATGTATATGTGCACATTCGTTATTATAAAAGTATAAGTCTATATTAAAAAGAAATTCACTTTAAAAATCTTTGGTAAAGATACTCTGAGGTTACTTGATGAGAAAGCACTGGGAAGGTTGTCAGCAGGCAGAGCTCTGCCCGTAAAACCTCAGGGAAGAAACTGCGGTAGCATTTTCCTATAACTCTTGCATGTAAACATCTGGTTACATAAGTAGTTAAATGTAACAAACAAGAAGGATGTTATTGCTCTATATTATAAATATTACATACATTCTTCCTCTGTTGCCTGAATTTATAGCAATATTACTGCATTTCTAGACATAATTCCTGCCCTCATTAAACTGGACTCTATTTTTGGCATAAAGACAATTTCCTGAAATATTTCCCAGTGAGCATTTTAGGCACTTCAAGCAGACTGTATTGCTACCTTGACTGTGTGACAAGCCAGTGTTCTCCGAGGTCACTGGCACAGCCGAGTCTTTGATTTGGAAAACAGGAATTCAGGGATACAGCTACCACCATATCCTGAAATCTACAAGCTGCCCTCCATGAGTCTCAAGAGGAGGGAAGCAGGTAAGAACAGGCAGTAGAGGAAGCCCCTGAAATCCATAGCTTTGGGGAGTCTAACATGCAAATTGCTTAGCAAGGAAAGTAAATAAGCCACAGATACACTCAGGCGAGCTGAGTGACAAAGGCTTTAAGAGTTTCTTTTAATCACTTTTATGATGACTTCTATTCAAGTAAAATAAACTTTATGGAATTCCTGAGGCATAGGATGAAATTTTAAACATACACAAGTAATTTTTAAAAAATTTGTTCTAAATGTTAAAATTAAAACTGTCAGACTAGAAGATCATCATGTCATGAAGATTAAAAAAAACAACAACAAAAAAAGACATAGTCAGGCTGGGGATGCAGGAATGGCAGCGTGCTTGCCAAGCACGAGGCCCTAGTTCAACTCCCAGTCCCACATAAGAGAAATCAAAAGGTATGTGTGGGATTTAAGGTGACTATATTTCTAGGACAGGGTGTTAGCTACAGAGGGATTCATTATATTATTATTTATACCCTTCTGTATATTTAAAGTATTCTATAATTTAAAAGTATATATTTGTAGAAGATTTAAAGAAAGGTTTGGGAAATCTCATCCCGACATACTGAACACTGAGTTCACATAATGGCCAGCTGCAATTGCTAAGCGAGGTGTCTCCTCTCAAGGAAGCAAACCGGCTCCAGTTGGCAAGCAAGCATTTCACTGGCTAATAAGAGTTCGCATAAAGATTCTAGGCAGCCATTCTGCATATTTTTAGCTCAGAAAGACAATTTTGTTTTCAGTGATTGTCTTTGAAAGTGTGGTGTAAATGTCACATTGAAGATAGGAAAATGTCTCCTGCAATATGTACTTGAGTTGGAAAAGGATTATAAGAACAATCAAACTGTGGTTTCACAATCTTTTGCAGCTTTTCTTTCTTTTTTAAAGAAGACGAGACACGGTTACATAACTTCATTTTGTGTGTCCCAATTTGCAATTTTCAGGAAAAAAATAGATTTGGGTCATTATAAAAAGAAAGACAAGAATTTGATTCCTTTTAATACATATCTTTCTGTAGATAAATGTTAATTGTGGTAACCATGCTTGTGTATTAGGGGAAAATTCATGGTATTTCTAAGATGTCAGACAGAATTGGAAATGTGCCAAAAGCAAGTCTGTCTGTCTTATGTCCAAATAGTGTGGAGAGGAAAATCTCAAGGTAGAATTGTTGAAACATAATGGGCTTTTCAAATACACATAGCAACCCTTTGGTTAGCATTTCCCTCTTGGTTTCTTTAGCTCAGTAGTAAAACTTGGTTCTTTCACCACATTTTAGCTATTGGCCAAAAAACATTTTCAAATGAGCCTTGACCACTGGGCACTACAGATTTTGAATTTGGATAATTGCAAGCTAAATTTGGGCTCCTGCTAATTTATGTATTTTTTTTCAAATAATCCTTTATAGCCTACAGAAAAAAAAATGTGCACATACCCCTTCTCACTTTTATTTTTACCAGGAGACATGAGTGGTGTAGTTTAATACCTGGTAACAGAACGACTAACTTCTGTAGGCACAGCCAGAGCGAAAGTGACAGGATGAGATGTCAAGCTAACAGCACCTGCAGGCTGGCACATTCACCCAGGAAAAATCATGTGACAGCAAATACCACACTAAAAATCTATTCAACCAGATGAAAAGTGAGACAAACACAGGGATTAAAAGTTACAGGAATGCAGAAGTGAATGGGATGGAGCATAATCTGTGCAAAAATGTGGAAGTCTTTGCAACAAAGGCTCATCAAGGCCCTACATGATTAAATGTGAAATGTGTATTTGGTAGGAACTTAAACCAATCTTGTCATGTATGTGCTTCTAAAGAAAAGGTTAACAGCAGATGAAGAACAGAGACCATCTCAGAGACTGAGAGCTTTGCCTCTATTTTTCTATTTCTTCTCTTATCTTTTTCTTGTGTTTCATTCTTCTCAGTAACACACTCAGCTGACAGGCAGGTAACTGACTCTACAGGTCAGTGCTTGCCTTGGCGGTCAACACCCTGATGCGGGCTGAGTTGCAGGTCTTGCAGAGGATGTGTCCATCCAAGGGGTAGCAGCCTTGGTTGTCTCCTTCAGACAGAAGACCACCACAATCCTAGGGAAAGGAAGACAGAAGTGAAACTGAAGCACGGGCACAAACCCAGCTTCACAGGCCTTCTTTACAAGGCTTCTATGATGTGTCCACACCACCCCATACTGAGTACATGACATAGCAGATTGTGAATGAAACTGAATTAGATGTCAATAGCATGAGGGGCAAATGGCAGCCAGGAGTGGTGGTGCACGCCTTTGATCCCAGTGCTTGGGAAGCAGAGGCAGATGGGCCTCTGTGAGTTCGAGGCCAGCCTGGTCTTCATAGCAACTTCTAGGCCAGCAAGGACTATACAGACTTTCTCAAAACAAAACAAATACATTTAAATAGTATAAAATGACTGAGTCTTCTAGCCACTGAATGCAAAACATAGTACAAGGAGGAAAGAGCCTATAACTCTCAGCTCCCAGGGGTTAATCTGCTCTCCTAAACAACAGAAAGGGAAAATAAAGTATGTCCCTAATGCACACTACCCTTTGTCCTCAAGTTTACTATCTCATCAAAAGAATGGACAGGTGCAAGAACAGAAGTTCATGGCTATTTAAATCAAAGAAAAGTGGTTTCTGTCACATAGCAAGGTTAACAATGGCTTTTGCATGTTTACTGCAATTGTAGCAAGGACATAAAATTGCAAGGGCTGAGAGGACTAAGAGTTTTCCACGCTTTTCCAAAGGGCTAGCACAGTGGAGAGGGACACACATGATAATGGGAGACAAGTTCCCTGGGTGCCATTGTTGGGTTTGTCACTGTCTGTACAGGCTGCACACAAGACTGAATGTCATTCTGAAAATAATTAAGGCCGTTTCTACCTTACCAGGCTTTTGGGGTGCTCAAAGTAGATAATGGATGTGAATGTACTCTATAAAAAATGCAGCTACGTATGTGTAAAGGATTGCACGAGTGTTGGTACTGGTGAGGTTCATTGTGGAAAGTGTTAGGGAGCACTGAATGGCAGTCCTTGACTTTAGAAGAAATGGGAGTTTGCTCAGAAAATAAATAGAGGCATATTTAGCATTGTGTGCCCAGCTTACTCTGAGAGCTGTCACTGGCTGTGATGACTGCAAAGCTCCCTTCTGCTCTCTAAGAGCGGCAAGGAGATGAATGAAGCCATGTCTACAGCTGACAAATAACAAACTCTTGATATAAACAGGGATGAGCCAAAGTATAGCAACAGACACAGTTATGATCCACCGGAAGTTTAGCTTTGCCAGAAAGAACCAGTGATATATTGTACCTTGAGTTGTCTTCAGGAACTGACTAATGAAACTAAACAACAACAACAAAAAATATTTCAAATCACAATAATGTCATTCATAGACTACACAGTTTTAAGTGTGTGTGTCCCTCCGTCCGTGTCTGGTGTCTTTCCCTGTCATTCTCCTTGTTACTTTTTAAGATGGAATCTCTCACAGAATCTAGGGCTCCCTTTAATACATCTAGAGTGAGTGCTCAATTAGCTCTAGAGATCTGTAGCAGCCCAACAGACCCTCCTCTTTCTCCTCCCCTGAATTATTGTGCATGCTGCTGCTCCTGCTTTTCACATGGGTGCCTGGGATCCAAATGTAGGTCTCTGCACTTGTGTGATACACACTTTACTGATGGAGCCATTTCCCCTGCCCAATTTCAAGTATTTAAGGAGATGTCATGTCCAGTCATTTGGATCCAGTAAAAGTTTCAAAGTTGACCACAGTACTGGAAGCATTGGTTTCTAGAGTCATAGCACCCAGAGGAGCTACACAAGGAAAAGGTCAGAATGGAGAGTGTTTCTCAGGGTAGCAGGCTAGACAAGAATAGTGACTTGCTGTTTTCCAATTCAGTGCTCTCTCCATTTTACGGCTTTGTTTCTGAACGATTTTTAGCTCTTAAAAACAAATCTAAATTGTACAGCATACTGGATGCAAGGACACAAGTCAAAGCCTATGGATATGCAATGGAGAATGTGAAGAACTATGGCATGGGGCGTGGGGGGTGCAGTCAGTCTTCTTGCAGCCCTAGTATCTCCTGTAAAATGACCTCTAAAGGCTGGCTACACTCTTGTGGCCTCATCACTGGGTCACTGGAAAGATGATGGCTGAACACTGATGTTCTCTTTCTTCCTGTAATAGACCTCGAATAAAAGCCATTACTTTGTTACTGTATTTCTTCGTGTTAAGCTTAGAGAGGAGCATATAACCTGGGCTTTACGGTGGAACAAAGCACAGTGCAAAACCAGATGGTCAGTTATAGGCAAGGCAGTGAATGGAGTTTACAAATTCTCTGGGGCCCTCAGAGCCTTGCCAGCCTGCATCCTCAGGCATTTTTTAGTTGGACTATGAGGACAAGGGTGTGAGAAAACCTGCATCCCACACAGAGAGGAGAAGGGGCTGAAAAATGCCCTATCCACAAGAGCTGGTGACGACAAAGAAGACTGTTTGGAAGGAGGGGACTAAATAACTTGTAGAAGAAGTAAAATATTTTAAAACCATTTTCTCAATGTAGTGTCCTTTTAAAACTCAAATGATGAGGGAAAGGACCCCTGTCCTTTTCTGCAGTAATGGCTGCATGTCCCCACGGTGTCAGCTAAGCTTCTCTTCTCACTTCTAGGCTGGATATGGGTGTGCCTTATGGATTCTCACAGCATACTGTGCCTGACTCTTTTCTGGCTCTTGGCAGCTATGACCTCTTAAGTGACACTTGGAAGCTAACTACTATATAACTATTCCCCTATGACTTTGAATGAGAAGTTCCTGCCCCTCTGAAATGAATGAATTCTTATCCTTCTCATTGGGTGGTAATGGCCCCTCTGCCCAAAGAAACAGTTAACCAAATCGTTAGCTACAGATTAATCACCATCATCATCATCACTGCCTTTTGTCTAGCTTAATGGTTTACACTGTCCTATGACATACAATTTTGTTTTTGTCTCACAGCTACATCTGGAGGGGTAAGAATTTGAAGCATCTGTACAGAGAGAAGGACTGTGCCGAGTGGGGTGAGTTGTGTGATGTCACCGCATTAACTGCCTGTGTCAGAGCTGAATCCTGTCTGTTAACACCAAGGTCTTTGTTAGGCATCAAGGTCTCCATGTTTCATGATTGCTCTCACGTGGGGATGCCACAGACCTCACAGCGGTAGCAGTGCACATGGAAATCACGATCCAGAGCCACGATGCGGACGGTCTCCTCCTGGCCTGGGGCAGGCATGATAGGCTCCTTGCACACAGAACAGCGCGGGGCAAATTTCCTAAAAACAGACAGAATTCTGGTGAGACGTGAAGTACAGATGCAGATGGAGAAGGACACAGCAGGAAAGAGAAGGTCCTGTGACGCCACAGGACGACACCTGGTCTGTATGTCCTGTGTGACCTTGACCTAAAGAGCACGAGACAGTAAGAGGCCTCTACAGATGGTGCATGCTATGTATTTCACAGGAAAGAGGGTATGAACTGGAAGAGGGTGTGAACTGCTTTGTATAGGGAGCCTTCAAGGTCTCTTTAGCAGGCATGTGATATGCATCAATCCTGTACATAGAACCACACTAGTCCCTAGGCATGACCTAGATGAATATAGAGAACAAGGTCCCGCCTGAACATGGTGGACAAAGGTCCTGGCAGGTTCTGATTACCCTCTTACTTAGTTAGTGTGCCTTCCTTGTGCCCTAGAAATCCTGCAATTAGGAATCTCTGCAGCTTTTTTCTTCAGAATGTGTCTTCAATTCTAGGCCACAAGAAGCCTCACACACACAGGTTTTACCAAATGGCAGAGGTTGGTGGTTTTACTATATATTTTATGAAAAACTCACAATGGCAAAGTACACATTACTTACACTTTGTTTATATAAGGGACTTTAGCATGATCCAAGTCTATAACACACGTGTGTGTGCACACACATGTTTGAAGCTATTAGTGAGGAACTTTAATATATTTCTTAATTTATTATTACTCACTAACAGAACCTTTTGTCTTAACTGGTTAGCAGGCTGAAAAAAATGGGTTATGAATCCATCCGTATTTTCTAGAATTTAAGGATAGCATTTGTGAAGGTGTAAAATGAGGTATGATTAGAATGCACACAGATAAGAACTGAAGAAAATCATTAAAAGAAACATAGACCAACACATATGAAATCCTAGTACTAGAGAGGCTGAGGCAGGAGGATCACCCTAAGTTCCAACCTACCGAGTGAGCAGCTCCTATTTCAAAAAGTAAAACCAAACGAGAGAGAAAGGATATACAGAGAGACACTGAGTAAGTTACTGAAGTTTTTCATGGTAATGGTTTTAAGATTAATGATGTTAAAATTTATCTACTTGTCGTAAGACTTAAAAGGAAATAATGATATAATCTAATACTGTGCAGAGCACTGCATGGCTGTCAAAGCACTTTTACATACATTATACTCTGTATGTACATTTTAATATTCCTGGTGGCACCCAAAAGGCATCTGTATGGCTGTAATCTAAATAAACATGAATTAAGTAGCAGATCGATTGATTGCTGTGAAAGAAAAATTAAGAGGATCATGGTACAACTGCGGTAGTAATCAGGGTTGTTATAATTGATATTTTATGCAAGAAGTTTATATTCAGTGGCAAAAATTGCTTTGGATTACCTGATTATTTTTGAATCTGGGTTATCAGTAGTAAAATAGGCAGACTTCTATCAACTGCAAAACTTCCTTTCCCCAGCTACAAGGACACTGTGAGGGCAGAAGTAGCCACAGCCTCCCCCAGTTTTCCCAGGTAGATGTATTCCTCCAGGATACGATTTCTTCTTTTCTTTTTTACTTTACCTATTTAGGTAGTAATTAATTCTGTCTTTGGTGACCACTATATGGGTTCTTACAGGAGGAATTTGAACAATTCCTAATGACATGAAACATCTGCTATCTTTTTCTGTGGGAAAGGTGTTATTAGACTTTATGTCTGGTCTCATGGCCCTTCTCTAGACAGCCTGAAACCTCATTCTCACTAACCAATCACTGTTCCTTAGCAACATGGCAAGGCAGGAGCTGTCACTGTGGTCTCATGATCTGAGGTGTTTTCCAGTGCTGAACTTGCACCAAGTGGATTATAATAATAAATAAAATAGTAATAATAATAGGATGAAAACAGTTTTGATGGTTACTGTTTATTAAGTGCCTGTTACATGGCCACATTATGAGGAAGTATTTTTTATCATTTCTATTCTTCAGTCAACGGAGTCATGAACCTAGTCATTCCATATCCAACATATTTTTGGCAAATTAGCAAATGAATGCTAAATTAAACAACCAAATGGATCAGTGCTATATTTGGCTATGAAATGTCCCTTTGGGATCACATACTTGACACTTAGTTGCCAGCTGATGAACCTTTGGGAGGTAACTGGATTGTGATACCTTTGACTTCAACAGATTCCTCCATTATTAGAGTCATAGTGCAATGGTGTTATCAGGAGGTGGTGGAGATTTAGGACTTGGACTAATTAGAGAAAGAAGATCATGACAATATACCTTTCAAGGGCACATCTTGTCCCTGGCAGCCATGAGGTGAATAGCTTTGTCCAATCATGGTTTTCCTCTACTATATACCGCTTCACCATAGGTCCAGAAATGGAGGACCAGCTTATTATGGACCAAAACTTCTGAAAACCACGTGCCCAAATAGACCTTTCCTACTTGGGTATTTGCCCTAGGCACAGGAAGCCTAACACCACACAAGGCACCTCGGCCAGGAAAACACAGATCACACTATGTATGCCTCCTACACTAAAAAGAGCAGTGCACTCCCACTATCCTGGCACAAGAAACACAGACTCAAAGAGATTCTAGCACAGCCTGATGGGGGATTCTCCATGCTTCTGTATTTGTTCTTAACTTTTATATTTAGTATACCTTCTTGCAAAAATTATCTAAGCTGGTACTATAAAAATTTGTTCACCTGTATAGTTCATTACAAAGCAGGCAACACTATGACTGACTTACAAAATTATTCAAATATAAAGGTGGCATGAATTCATAACTGGGGATAAGGAGAGGTAAAAATCAAATAAGTTTTATTGAAATATATAATAAGTTTAGCCTTTAAAGACAGCCATGGAGGGAAAATGAGGAGGGAGGGAGGGTGAGAGTGTGTGTGTGTGTGTGTGTGTGTGTGTGTGTGTGTGTGTCTCCACTGCCTACCTCCCACATACTTGTGTACAGGGCTTAAAATAGTCTCCCTATAAGGGAGTTTTCAGTGGTTACTGGTGATCATGTCTGTAGAAGAGTTCAATTCCCAGTGGGTTGTAGGACATGAGTCAACCTTAACCAAAGGTATTTATATGAAAATCGCCCATTTGCTAAGGCTCAAGATGCTGCCCTTCAAGTGACAAGTTCTGAGATGCCATTTTACAGACTGTGCCAAGAGCCAACCCCCATATCCTCTATCAGTCATCCCCCCGTTTCTCATCCATCTTCATAGCACACTTCCAGTTCTGCTTGCATGAGGCCTGTCTGAATCCCAGAGTCAAATGATCAGTTCTGAAGAAGACAGGGCAGCTTTCCTGTGCCTACCTTCCGGTGCTGCCCTTTCTGCCCTGAATCCCATTATGCTGGCATAGTCTGCATCTTTCCACAAGTCCAGCACTGATAAGTACCTCCCATCCAGCTCTCTGTGTCTAGTGTCTCCTTCACAGCTACCGGCACAGCTACCAACACAGCTACTGGCACATAGAGAGAAGCTTGTGAATGTGAGAATTAAGCTAAAATGTGTTTCCTAAAAGCCCACAATGGAGACCCATTCAGCAAAAGCTAAGAAGAAGAAGCTTTCCCAAAGTAGAGAAGCAGGCTCTGCCCCTTTGTTGGTCGTCCTGGCTGTTCAGTACACACCCCATGTTGGAAGGCTAGCACCCTGTGGTGGAAGGTTAGACACTCTGTATTCTAGTACCTTCAAAGCTAAGCAATAAGTGCTCTGGAAAATGTTCTTTTATTTCCTTTCCATCAAAGAGTGGTATCCAAAAGCTACCCCCACCATATCTGTTAATTGTGCAGATAACATCATTTTTTAAAGTTATTTCTTTTCATGTGCATTGAAAGGGGGAGGGGGTGAGGGGGTGAGGCTTGAGATGTATGTACTCCACCTACCCTTTTGGTTGCTCAAGGCTGCTTTTTTAGTGTTCAGACCCACACGCTTATGTCACTCCTTGCAAGTCTCTAATTATGCTGCTCACCATTAGAAATGAACGATAAGTGGCAGAGACACAAACTTACATTTGTCAGAACTGATTTCCTCTTTTAATTGAGGGGTGTAATAGATCAGGCTTTCCCTGCAATGCAAACGTGTGCACCCTGCTTACATCTACCTGTCTTTCTTGGATTGTGAAAGTCTCAAAGAGGAGGGAAATGGTGACAGAAAAACACTCCCTGTTGGTATCTTTTCATGTCCCTTAAATAGATGCAGGGTTTTTTTTTTTATGTGTAATTACAAGCTAAAAATAGCAATAATGTGAAGTACAATTTATGCCGTGACTGCCCTTTAAAAGCAAGCCTTTTCTTGTCTAATCCAGGTTGAAAATTTCTGGGGTTTTTAAAATCATTCAGCCTCACGTCTTTTGGGGCAGTTTTTGCTTTCACTGCTCCTTGGGAGAGTGGTCAGGAAATTCATTTTAAAAATATGAGTCTCAGGTCCCCAAACTGCTTGTGGAAAGTCCCTTCTGGATGTTGACAATCAACAGTGGTGAAAGAAACCCACAGCCTGTCCTGAGCCCCAGAGCGGAGCCCAAAGTGGTCAGCAATGTGCTTCATCTTTTGGGGGCCTTACAAACCACTCTTAAAGTGACTGTCCAGTGAACGGAAACATGGAGGCCGTCCTGCCTTGCATTAGCAAGCCATATCTGCTTTCCACACAGACCATCATAAACATGGGCCCTGATGTGATGAACCAGGTAGCCAGCTAACCAGAACAATTAAGAAAAACACAAAGCTATCATTTTCTCGAAACCTATAACGGAGGAAAGAGGGACTGTAAAATCCGAGTCATGAAGAAGGGGAATCATGTTTCTAGGCCTACCTGTGGTTTAGTACACTTGATCCTGAGAATGTTTTCTCAGGATCTCTGATGCTTCTTAAAATGCTGCACAATAAATCCTGCACTAACAATGTCCTCAGAAAGTGTACTGAGGCACACAAGACCTTGGTGGGGGAGGAGGCTAAGGGAGGACATGCACGTGTTGGCTATGGCATGAAGCTGCCTTTCACACTGGAACTGTGTGACAGAATGGCTGTCTGTATCTATGCAACGATCTAGGAGCACCTCCTACCTTTTCACTAACAGGGGTGCAGAGGTTGTCACAGTTAGGAGACCATTAGGTCAAGCTCTGGTCAGATAACTAAACTGAAGAACTGGGAGAAGTTGTGCAACTTGCTAAATGCCATGGCTCTTGTCAACCAAATCGGCTCGCCCATATCTACAGCTGCACAAAGATATGATCGATTGCAGAGAAGCTCTGAATAGAGGAGAAACTGGATTATGACAGGGATTCCCCAAATGTCAGTCCCTGCACTGGAGATAACTCTTAGAATATATGCCTAGGTGCTGGCATATACAGCTCAGAAAGAAGCATAGCCAGTGACAGGCCCTGGGAGCAGACTTCAAGAGGACTGGCAGGTTGGAGGCGAGAGCCTCTGCTTACTTGTGGAAGTCCTCGATGCAATGGATGAGGCCACAAGCATCCACGGTGAAGGGGATGCCATCCAGACTGCGGCGGCACATCACGCAGGTGAAGCAGTGAGGATGGTAGGCCTTGCCGGTGGCACGGAGGATCCGCTCCATGATGGGCTTGGAACACACATTGCACTGCTCCAGAGTATTCTGGGGAAAGAAAGAAAACAGTTCAGCAGAATGCCATGGCTCCAGTGTGTATCACAACATTCTAGGGAAAGCATGGGCAGCGTCAGTGGGAATGAGGCGCACAAGCATGTCAGAGGGTATCACCCAGGCAGTAGGCAGCAAACCTATGTTTTACAATACCCACTGTCTGCCTTCTACGGCATTCCTTTCGACTTCATCAAGAGTGATGACACAGTTCTCAGTAAAGGTTCAGATAGTAAGGACCTGTGGTACTAACCACTCAATGTACCCGCCTAAGGCAAAGGCTGCTTCTGAGTGCACACATGAAAAGGGCCTGTAATTCAGTAAAGCTTTATTTATAAGAACAGGTGGTAGGCTGGATGTGTTCGCTGAACTACATTGTCCAGGTCCTGTACTTAGAAAACTGCTTTACTGTAACAAGAAAAACATGATTCAACATTAAAGACCTAATAGGGTCACTGAGGCACCTAACTTTCTATCTGTGTAATGACTTCAACAAGTGTACACCTCTCTGTGGAGCCCAAATCAAAGCTTCCATTGAAAAATCTCAAAATTCAGGCTAGCTGAATCCCTGATAGGAAAGTTGGACATAAAGTGGTGGTCAGGTTGTGAAAAGTAAACTAAGAAATCAGGTTTACCTGGATTTGAAAATACACCGAGCCTTAGGAATACATATGAACCTCAAGAGCTAATTATTCAGCAAGTCAGCATTCAAAGCCTCCAGCTGTTAACCCTGCCCCAGACTGTGTTCTCAAGCAATAATCTTTTTTCATGTGTGATGTGTGTTATTCTCAAATGAAGTATCTGAAGTGACTTAGTAGAATCTGGAATCAATGTAGGGTGTAGATGTCAACAGGAAGAGCCAGCCGTGGATGGAGCATGGGAATTAAGGAGACATTGCCTTCTTACTGTGAGGTCTTCAGATGCCCTGAGGCGAGATATGCCTGCATTGAGGTAACGGGTGTCCTGAAAACTGACCCAAGGCAACTCTTTGGCATTAGCTGCTTTGTTTATCTCCCCCGCCCCCGCCCAAATCCTTTGTCTCCATAAGGATGCCCAATTTGCTTCTTGAAATTGGATCAGGTATTTTTGGGATCAGGTATTTTTTCCGAACAAAACTCTTTGTGGCACCATAATATAGACTGAATTCCCTCAATGATACTCAATCTCTCTCTCTCTCTAGGCTCAGCTCCTCGTCACATCCAAGCAGGATATTCACACTCACTCTCATTTCTGCCCCCCCACCCCACCCCAGGCAAATACCCAACTTTTGTGTCTTGACTATGACTACATGAACTGTGACAGTTTGCCATTCTGACCTTCCAATATACAGCTCAAAAGGCTCTTTGATGAACAACCTGAACATATACCTCATTACCTCACAATAGTGTCGTTTCATTAAAGGAAGAGAGTATTTCTTAAAAATATATTTCTCTGTCCCAGAAGACTGCTTGGGATAAAATACAAGCTGGGGATGAATGCCTACAGAAAGAATCAATAAAGAAATATTGTTTAACTCCACCATGGCAGCACAGCCCTGGTCCACTGCCTCCAACTCTAGATCCATCCCAATATGAACTGGTAAATCCATCATTATCCTCTCCTATGCCTTTAGTCATAGTATAAACTCATGGAAACAATTAAGCTACATCCCCCCATCTTGAAATGGTAAAGTTAAAATAGCAGAGGCTTACGGACTGAAATTCTGGGGCAGATGATGGTCTGGAGAATGACAAGCCTGCTTCTTTTCTACCCTGGTGATCTGAGGTCAATCATCTTCCTAGGGCTTCTGTTTTGCCTCTCTGGGGTTTAACTTTTTTTCTACTTATACCCAGTCCATAATGGAGTTGAATAAACCAGAAAATGCTAGACCAGAGAGTGTGTTTGTTTGCGCTGAGGCCTGGCTCTGAGCAACAAAAAGGCTTAGCCGGTTTCCAAGGGAAAGCATTATGGTCTGTGAGTGCTCTATTCAAAGGATGGGTAATCTGGAGAGTTCTACAATGAAAACAAGCTTTAAACATGCCTAAAATTAACCTAATGGAAAAATGCTCCCAAATCATAAAAAATAAAATGACATTTCCAAGGAAGTAGTTGGCTTGGACACAGGACATGAAGGGTACCTTAACCTTCATTAAACAACTCCCTTTACTATACAACTCTTCCCTTCTTCACATTGTCAGGCTGGAGGGTTCTAGCATTCCCTGTAGTCCAGGCTGTCACTTCTCAGGTAAGGTCACAGACTTAGAGCTGACTGGTAAACTGGGTCACTGAACTCTTGAGGACACTTGAGGCTGGCACTTCTACTTTTCTGACTCCTGGCCATTTGGAGTGGTCTGGCAAACTCATGTACAGCCATAACAAGAATAGCATGCGACATAAAGAACATGCTACATTGTCCTGGCTTTGACAGCACCTTCTGTATGATCTTTATAAAAATTTCTTCTGTATTATTTCTTTGCTTCAGATTTCAGATTTCTCAATGGTAAAATGATTGACCCCTATTCTTCAGTTTTATATTTACTAACAACACAAGAAAGGGCCAATTTCCTACTACCAGATACGTACTAGAAACAAATGGAAATACTCTTGACAGAGGTTTGAAAGAGGGGTTCACATATTTACTCTCTCTCCCTACTTAAAACCTTTAGCAATTTCTAATCATAAAACTTTAATCCCAACAATGGGATGCTTTACAACTTTTTATACATGGTTATTTTAAAATAAAAAGCTGGGCTCTTCATGTACATATCTAGCTTTTCTAAAGTAGGATAGAGTAGAAGGTAAAATAACAGTTTTGAAGGAAACAGACTTCAGTAGAATCAGTGGAAGAGAAATGCCTCTTAGTCTGTTCAAGTCACTTCCTCTATGTGCAACAGGCACCATGTCTAACAGGAGGGCAGTCAGCAGAAGAGCACTCTACAGCTTGGGGACCTTTACAATCAGTGGTGTGCTTTGTGTCTTGGCTTCTCATTCCCATTATTCTCACACGTGGGCTTCATTTTTTAGCCACCACACTGAGCTCATTGCTATATCTTAAAAAAAAACAAAAACAAAAAAAACAAAAAAAAAACAGTACACATGCCCAGGCCTTCTTTTCTTTTCCTTTCTTTTTCTTTTCCTAGAAAATATCTTATTTTTACAAATGAATCTCTAAATCCACTTATTCTGAAAAAGAAATCTTTCCTGATCCTCCTTCTGTTATGCTAAAATAAGTCACATTCTCTGCTACCATAGGGATGCTTATGGGGTGCTTTCCATATGACATCTACATATCCAAATAGTGATCTCTCTTCTCTCTCCCCATCAGACTCTAGTTTCAGGATGTATCACCTATAAAAATAGATTTTGAGAAAACTTTGCACACTGGAAGTTACTGAGAAGTGTTCTTGTGATCAGCATCTATGGGAGATTAAAGGAATGGCTAGGTGAGATCTAGGATGTAGCTACCACCAAGACCTAGATGGGGCCATGGGGGACTTGATGGCTGGGATTGACATGCAGAATTGTCCTTCTACAAAGCTAGTGATGACAGCCTTTATAGCTGCACCTATCAGTCAGTGGACCCAAGAAGATCCCCAAGAAAGAAGTGTGACTTTGATTGAAGAGTTTTCATTCAGGTGATAATTAACACAGAAGGACCTAGCTAAGAGCCTTCAACAGTGAACATTCTCAGCAGCTTGGGGCAATAAGAGCCTCAATCTTGAAGAGACATCTGGGCAGCATACTGTATCATCTGCACAAATAGTCATCCTTGCCGCGGGCCTGCATAGCTCATGGTATCTGGAAGGAACTGGTACTGAACCATGGAAGACCTTGTCACTTAAGCTTAGTGAAGAATCTATATTTTATTAATTTTGCAACAGACACTATTTTGGGCAGTTACTCTAATCAAAGTATGGTTCAAAAGCAAAGATTTCAGAGTCACAGAAAAGAATCAGGGGATATGTAGTTGGAAGGCACAGATTATGAACTTCTGTGAAATGATGAAGATCCAGTTGTGATTAGGAACCAAAATTGAACTAAAGATTAAAGTAAGATCACAAACAAACTTGTACTTAAAACTCCCCAATTCAACTGTTTTTAAATTTGAGATACAATCTGGTTGTAGCTTTTATATCCTTGGGTGCTATATAAATAACTTTTCTAATTCCCAAGCAGAAGAGCTGGAAGGAGCAGCTGAATATAAATGAAGCACCCAGGCAGCACAAACACTAACTGCAAGAGTGTTATTCCAGCTAACACGTCAGACAGGAATATACTGGTCAGTGTGTGTGCTTTCAATCAAGAGACGGAAGTGTAAGACGAGCTGGAAGATGAGAAAGAGAGTTTTGTTAAACTTTAAGTTTATAAAGTTAAAATGTGATCTTACATTTTTGGCTAAATGAGCAATATCACAAGACAGGAAGGATTATAAGATGCTGGGGTGACAGCTCGTGTTTGAGAAAAAGTTTTGATCTTCCTGTGATAAAAAGAAAAAAAAAAAAAAGGTAGTGAAAATGTTAGAGCCTGGATGGCTTTATAATTTCTCTGGTCTAGAGTTTACAACATTTGCCTCCCTTGAAATGCATGCTTAGAGAAATGATACCAAGTGGCACATCTAAAAGAGCCCAAACCTACTCCTAGATGAGCAGTGTGAAAGGACAGAGTCTGTGAGATGCATACTACACTGCTTATAAGCCACCACCCCAATGGAATCAAGAAACCAAGGCCTGGATCATGAACAAGGCTGGAAGCAGATTCATGCCTCCTGGTTCCCTATGCAATGGGGAACAATTCCAATGTTCAGACTACTTATTTTTGTAGACACACTTTATGTTGCAAACAGAAGGCATTCAGGCTTACTACCTGCAAGTTACATGCAAAGAAATGAAATCAGGAAACACGTCGTGATCTTAAGACCATCTGTCCCCCAAACTCCTACACCACTAGACAGAAAACTCATTGTTGGATACCAGCATTTACATAGTGTTTCCACATAAAATTGATGCTTCATAAATTTT